AGCATTGCTGAAGTCATCAACGTCATCTTTCATCTGGTCTCCCGATTGTGAGCGGGCGTTCGTGAATCTCAAAGAGCTATTGACGACTCCTCCGGTTTTGGCATATCCTGACTACACTCGACCTTTTATTTTGCGCGTGGATGCTTCTGACATTGGTCTTGGAGGTGTGTTGATGCAAGAGAGCTCGAGTGTGCCTGGTCAGCGCCATCCCATTGCATACATAAGCCGTACATTACAACCAGCGGAGATGAACTACTCCATGACGGAGAAGGAGTGTTTAGCAGCAGTCTGGGGTTTCGAGAAACTTCATGCCTATCTACATGGTTCTCGGACGTTACTTGAAGGTGACCATGCTGGTGTTACTTCATTATTGAAGCGGAAGAACCTGGTTGGTCGTACGGCTCGATGGGCTTTGAAGCTTCAGATATATGATTTTGATGTTGTTCATCGCTCAGGGAGTTCTATGGCTGATGCTGATGCCCTTTCTCGCGCTCCTCTTCCTTCTCCACTCACTTCTCATGTTTCTGACGAACCTGTTGTTCCAGCATCTGTGGATTTTCTAGATGAGGATTCTGTGCCGTCGGCGGTTGCTGTCCTTGACATTCAGTGTCCACAGGGCGTAGAGCAAGATCTACCTTCTCTGGATGAGGTTCGCGAGGCTCAAAAGATTGAGCCATGGATTCGAAGGCTTCGAGATGGGTTTGAGAATCCTGCATCACTTGTTGATGACTTGCCTTTTCGGCATTTACATTCTCAATATCGCCTTGAAGATGGCCTTCTTTATTTTGTGGGGACGGATCCTGATGCTCATTTACGGCTGGTGGTGCCTTCGGTGTTTATTCCGCGGTTTCTCCATGCCTACCATGATTCTCCTATTCTAGGTGGGCATATGGGACACCGTCGTGTCACCGAGAAGTTGCGCAGATCTTTCTATTGGCCAGAGATGCGACATGATATTATCCGGTATGTGCGTAGCTGCGTTTGGTGCCAAGCTCGTAATACTCCCCCTTGTGCTGCGGAAGGACGGTTGGAGTCAATTGCAGTTTCTCGTCCGTTTGAGTTGGTGGCATTTGATCTTATGGGACCTTTTCCGCGATCGACTGCTGGCAATGAGTATGTTATTATTGCTTCTGACTACTTGACTCGTTGGGTGGAAGTTGGTGCTCTTGCTAGTGCCTCTGCAACTGCTGTTGGATACTTCCTCCTCAATCGAGTGGTGTTCCAGCATTCTTGTCCAGAACGGATTCTTTCGGATAATGGTCCTGCATTTATGGCTGAGGTATTTCATGTTTTGACATCTCGGTTGGGGATACGCCACACTTCTACGAGTGCTTATCATCCACAATCAGACGGTCTGGTGGAACGGCTCGTTCGGACATTCAAAGGGATGATTGCGAAGTATATGAACTTTCAACATTCGGATTGGGATGGTTATTTGCCGTCTCTTCGGTATGCTTATGTCACAGGGGTGCAGAGTTCTGTTGGTGCTTCACCATATAAACTTCTATATGGTCATGATCCAATATTACCAACAGAGCTAGGTTTACCTTCGCGATTGCCACGAGCTCCTGATGCTAGGTCATGGGATCAATATTTGACAAGCATTCTTCCACTTGTCCGAGCAGAGTCTGCTGAACACTTAGGCCGCGTACAAGTGGGACAACAACGGCGCTACAATTCCCATCATCGTCCACCAGCGGAGTACAAAGTGGATGATTTGGTGTTAGTCCGTTTTCCCCATCTTACGGTACGTGGTTTATCTAAGGGGCTCCTTGCGCAGTGGAAAGGACCGTATCGTGTGTTGCAGCAAGTTGGACCACAAGTTTATGAGGTTCGGCATGACGTTCAGCAGGCCGATCCTCTGGAGATTGTGCATGTGCAGCGGTTAAAACGCTTCATACAGAGGGATCAGGAGCAGTTAATACCGTCTACAGATCCACCGATGCCTCCTCCTGACGTTCCTCCAGATCCCGGCCCATCTACAAGAGAACCCTGACGGCCTTCCATTATTCCGAGAGGAGGGGATGATGTGAGGGCCAAGTGTACAGCTACGATGTCGTATACTAATATTAGCGTAGTGGATTTTGGTAGCCGTCGGATTAGTTTCAATCCGGACCACTCGCTCCTGTATATAAACTAGGGTTTTTGGGTTAATTGATATGCACATTTCTGTATTCCCTTTCCATATTCCATGCACTCACACAATAAAAATTTATATTATTTATTTTAAAATATTTATTAAGTCAATCTTTTATAAAAGTCATGTTTAATTAGTTAAATGGAATATACCACCATTTTATTTTAATTTTCTAAAATTAAATACAGCTATCTAGGTTTTAGCCAACTGGTATTATAAAAAATCTAAATTATGTATATGAAATAATGTTAAACCGCTTTTATTAACTTTTTGATTCATTAGTTTTGTCAATTGCCTTACTGTAGAACTATAGCAAGAATATTTTAAAATATATTGATAAATAATAAATAAATAAGTCCAGTCATTTTATCTTATAATTGTTATTCTTCTAAACAATGTATATTTAATTTTGAGCTGCTACTTCTTGTTAAACGTGAAAATATTTGCCAGCAAAGAGTACGTCGCGGAGGATTCGCCACCAAAGCTGGCCAGTGCGTCAAACGCTACCTTCCCCACGCTCTCGTTCTTCCACTTGGTTGCGGCGCTCAGCAGCGTCGTCCAGGTCAGGGAATTCGGCTGGAAAGGCATCTTTCTCGCGAGCTCGAGCGCCTCGTCGATCCGGTTGGCCCTCCCGAGAAGATCGATCAAGCAGTGGTAGTGATCCATGTCGGGGGCGACTTGGTACACGCGGCTCATGGCCTCGAAGTAGTACTCCCCCTGCTCGACGAGACCGGCGTGGCTACAGGCACTGAGGATCGACGAGAAAGTCATGGCGTCTGGCCGGAGCTTCTGCTCGATCATCTCGCGGAAGCTGGAAAACACTCGGTGGCAGTCCCCACCCCGGCTGTAACACGCGATGATCGAGCTGAAAGTGACCAAGTCGGTGGTGAAAGCCGAGTAGAAGACTCTAGCGGCGTGCGCGGTGCATCCACAGCTCCCGTAGAAATCCACCAGGGCGTTCGTGATGAGAACTTCGGCTTCCTGGCCATAGCGGTGGACGTCGGCGTGGATCGTTCTGCCCATCTCCATAGCCGAGAGCTTGCTGCAAGCATTGAGAGCCGAGACGAAAGTTAGACTGTCTGGAGTGGAAGTACCTTCTCGCCGCATTCGAGCGAAGGATTCTAGAGCGGAGTGGCTCTCGCCGTTGTCACCGTATCCCAGGATGAGTGTGTTCCACGAGACTGTGTCGTGGCGAGGCATGGAGTCGAAGACTTTGCGAGCGAGCTCCATGGAGCCACACTTGGCGTACATGTCCACCAGGGAGCTCGCAACGAAGAGGTCTGTGTCGCAGCCAGCGATCACTGCTTGGCCATGGATTGCCACTCCCTTGTCCAGCCAAGCTTCTTCTTCGTCCCTAGCTCTAGCTTTCTTCTTCGACTGCGCTGCTGCCAGAGCCGAGCAGGCACCGATCACGGCAACGAAGGTCCGAGAGTTTGGAGCGAACCTCTCGGCTTGCATTTGCTGGAAGTGCTCGAGCACCATCTTTTGATCGTCGCCACTCTCGGAGAATCCCAGCAGTAGCGTGTTCCAGGAGACGACGTCTCGAGCAGGCATGGAATCGAAGACCAGCTTTGCCTTCTCCAGGCTCCCACACTTCGAGTACATGTCGATCAGAGTGTTGGCGACGAAGAGCTGTGACTCGTAACCAAGCTGCTTGGCTCTCCAGTGGAGCTCCACCCCCTTTTCCAAGATCTTCTCGAGTGTGTCGTCGCCAGCTCGCTTGGCCAAGCTCGAGCAAGCCATCAAGCCGGCGACTAGAGTCCGAGCGTCCGGAAGAACACCGCCACCTTGACGCTCCAATCGAGAGAACAGTCCAAGAGCTTGCTCGGGCTCGCCATTCTCGACGTATCCCAGCATCATAGAGTTCCACGAGACGATGGAGCGATGGAGCATCACGTCGAAGATCTGTCGAGCTTCCACCACGCTTCCACACTTGGAGTACATGTCGATCAAGCTGTTGGAGACGAAAGTGTCCGAGTCGCAGCCATTCTTCCTGGCTTGCGAGTGGATCATCCGGCCTTTCTCCAGAGATCCCAGTCTCACAAACTTCCCGTCCATAACTTTCGGCTCTTCTCTCGATGCCAAACTCGAGCAAGCCGTAAGAACAGCCACGAAAGTCCGCGAATTCGGAGAGCTCGATCCATCTTCTCGCTCCATGCTGTGGAAAAGATCCAGCGCCGTGCTACCTTGGCCGTTTGCCGCGTATCCCAGGATCAAGGAATTCCAAGAAACCACTGTACGATGATCCATCGTGTCAAAGATCTGGCGAGAGAGCTCCATGCTCTCACACTTGGCGTACATGTGGACAAGACTGTTCATCACATAGTTCGTGGCGTGGAATCCAGCTTCGATCGCATCGCTGTGGATTCTTTTGCCGCTGTCGAGATCTCTGGTGCTGCCACAGGCCTTCAATCCGGCCAGCAAGAGGAAGACGTCCGGTCGCTGCGAATCCAGTCGATTCTGCTGCCGCTCGAACGAGCAGCTGCGATCCAGGAGGAGACATTTCGCGGCGGAGATCTTACATTTTGGAGCTGGAGCGCGCATTCCCCTGGATTCATCGCGTATCGATCCATCGCATTGGGAAGAACCCTAAAAAGAATAGGGCGAGGGCGAGCGGAGGCTTCCATCGCAATGCCGGAGATCCGGACGCAAGAATGCCGGGCGCTGGCGAGCTCTGCGCTCTGCGGCACGCTGGGAAGAGCGCCGCGATCCGCCGCGCGCTGCGGATCTAGGAGAGCTTGTCTCCAAATCAGGGCGGCTGTCATGCAATCCACACCATTGCCGATGCGTAGCAACGAGCTCAAGAACAGGTAACCAGAATTTCGAGAGATCTCTGGGTTGTATATTCGTTTCTCTGATATATTTTCTTGCAGTACGCCCGTGGAAGAGATGAAGAAGCTGAGGCTCATCTCGGCTATCAAGACTCCATATCTTCCAGATGGAAGGTTTGATCTGGAAGCTTACGATTCACTGGTAAGAACCCAGGTCGATCACGGTGTGGAGGGACTTATCGTAGGGGGAACCACAGGAGAGGGTCATCTCATGAACTGGGACGAGCACATCATGCTCATCGCCCACACGGTGAATTGCTTTGGAGACAAGATAAAAGTGATTGGAAACACTGGCAGCAACTCCACTCGAGAGGCGATCCACGCGACCGAGCAGGGATTTGCGGCGGGCATGCATGCTGCGCTCCACATCAATCCTTACTACGGGAAGACGTCCATGGATGGGCTTTTGCTCCACTTCAAGAGCGTGCTCGCTATGGGTCCGACTGTGATCTATAACGTTCCCGGAAGAACTGGCCAAGACATTCCACCGTCGGTGATCGAGAAGATAGCGAGCAGTCCAAACTTCCTGGGTGTCAAGGAGTGTATGGGAAACGAACGCGTGAAGCACTACACTGAGCAGGGGATTGCGGTGTGGAGTGGAAACGACGATCAGTGCCATGACTCGAGGTGGGACTTCGGTGCTCGAGGTGTGATTTCGGTGGTGAGCAACTTGGTTCCCAAGTTGATGCACGAGCTCATGTTCTCCGGGAAGAACCAGGAGCGCAACGAGAAGCTGATGCCTTTGATCAACTGGCTGTTCGTGGAGCCGAATCCCATCGGACTAAACACTGCCTTGTCGCAGCTCGGGCTCATCCGGCCGGTCTTTCGGCTACCGTATGCTCCTCTCAACGTTGAGAAGAGGCAAGAGTTCGTGAAGATCGTCGAGGGCATTGGACGCGAGAATTTCCCTGGCTGCACGGAAGTCCGGCTGCTCAAGGACGATGATTTTCTTCTCGTGGAGAGGTACTGAAGGAGAGAAATTCTCAGAGTTTCAGTGCTGTTGGTAAGCCAAGTTTGTTTCCTTCTTTCCTTTGGACTGCTAATCTAAGCTTGTGGAGTTTCATCAGGTTCTTATGAAACTGGCAGAGAAATGTATCAATCATATCGTGATTTTCGTTTCCTTGTTTCCTTCCATTGTTTTTCGCAGAAGGCGTTACACCCAGCCAGTGTTCATGAGATCCGAGAGGAACATTTGTGTGGAATCTACCGCGCGAAGAACGTTACAAAGTCGCCATCTGGTATTTAAGAAACCGCGATTGCGTCATTCATTCAGCACATCCGGAATTCTAAGGCTCTGAATGGCTTCGCCAGTGCTTCTTGCGACTCTCCTCGTTTTGTTCTACACATTTCAAGGTAATAGGCAGTTCATTTTCTTTTGGGAACTCATTACACTATCATCTCTTGCCAGAAATCTCTGCTCGAGCGCCGCCGCCACCGCCTCCGCCACCACCATGTCATCACGGCCATGGACTCGTAGACTATGAGCTTACAGCGCCCACCGAAAATATAGTCACTACTTCTCATCACGAGCAGCAGAGTTGCAACCATCACAAGAAGAAGCGTCACAGGAAAAATCACCACCAGCACCACAGTCCGCCGCCACCATTGGTGCCGCCAACATCAGAGCCACCACCACCACCGCCATCGCACTTAACGGCCACACCGCCATCGCCACCCCATTTTACACTTTCGCCACCATCGCTGCCGCCACCTTCACCGTTCCATGCCTGGTTTCCACCACCGCCATCGCCTCCACTGGCAATGTTTCCACCACCATCGCCGCCGCCGCCGCCACCACCACAGCCGTTGTTTGAGCCTCCCCCTTTCCTTCCCATTCAACCACCAGTGTTTTCTCCACCAATGCACTAGCTACAAATAAGGGGTAATAAAAATGTATAGTTGTTTCTTGTAAATACTGCTCCTTTGGTGGAATCTCTCAGGGGAGTTGCTGAATCTCTAAGAATCGACTATAAAATATCTGGAGTGAACTCTCTTTAATAGCTAATGCTTGATGATGTTCAAAGTGCTGAGCTTCTCCCAAGCAAAGTCCTTGCTTGGCGTCCTTGGCTCCCATAATCAACATCCTTGCCTTGTAGAATTTCTTCCATCTTTTTCTCTAGGATAGACGGCTTCCTCGTGTTCTTCCTCCATCCTGGCTATAGCTGCCTCCATTTTCTTCTCTTGGTTATGGACGTCCTCCTTAAGCTGCTGATTCTCAGCCCACAATCTTGAAGATCCTTCAAGCAGCACTCTTGGATTTGCTGATCCTGCTCAAGTAGATCCTTAAGCCTTTGATCTCCATTTGCATGTGTCAGTTAGAGCTTCTTCATAGCTTGCTGGTCCATGGAAACAAAGAACTGGTTGTTTTCATACTTGCTGTTCATGTGCTGGAGATGATTCTCGATTCTCGTAGACAATCTTTTTCTCTTGGGCTAACTTCTCAAGATCCAGCCACCTAAATTCCACCTCTTTCTCTTCCAAGATTCTTTTACTATTCTTGTATTTTTCTTTTAAGCTCCTTTATGTTTAAAGGGAAATTTTCATTTGAAAGTTAAACCCCACCTTTCTCCAAGAGAATAGAGTGGGTTGCGCAAAACCCTAGTGAACCTAGTCATAATCACTTGTCTCTACAACATGTGTGACATCATCCGTGCTCACTTGAAAATTTGTTTCTTTGTTACGACCACCAGATTTCTAACCCCGTAACACTGAGAGACTTGTGCCAGAGCTCATGGACCTTGACGACTGTTGAGGCCAGTTGCCCATACATTCCCAGCTTCACCAAACCATTTAGCCATAGGGGATGGCCATCTTCTTCTTCCCTGTTTTTCCAAATTCTCCAGGCCACAGCAGCCGGGCTTGGATGGATTGACGTGGCAGCAAGTGGGCATCCATGACCAGAGGGTGGCTGGCGGGACAAAGGCGGAGCGGAGGTAGTCGGTCCCTCAGCGAATGGCTGCGCGAGCGTTATCCAGCTCTGCCAACCCGAGCTACAGTATGATCGTGAACGCCAACCTCTGTAGTAGCCTCCCGTGAGATTCACCTGAGCAGCAGCAGAATCGATAGAAGTAAACCACAAGAAATTTTCAAACGAGCAAAAGATTCTACGGTACATTCGCTGTTCTCATTACATAAATAATGATTTTCGGTGGTGAGACGAAAGATCAGCCAATAACTTTGTCCCGGGAGCGATTCAATCCAGATTCTCTCCCGGGAGCTCTTCCCTCGGCAGGAAATCGCCCACGCAGCGTTTCTTCGGCAGCGGCTCTGCTTTCTTGAGTATGTTTTTTCTGCAGTGGAATGTTGTAGACCTTGAGCGTCGGTTGACAGAGGAGCCGACGCTCCTTTGTCCGTCAGGGCACTATTGCTACCAATCTGTGCAAGTCGTAGCTTGGCGTGGTAAGAGTCGTAGCTCTGCGGTCTTGCTTAGCTTTTCGAGCTTACCTCCGCGCAGGCGCAGGCAGGATCGCAGAGTTTTTCACGTGTTCCTCACTGCAAATCTCCAGTTATGCAAACAGTGAAGAAAGCCCAAGGAAAAATCCCACCTTTAGACCGCTCCTGTACCGCTCCTATGAAACTAAGTACTCACCTCTCGCAAGATGCTCGCGAGATTCTCCTATGGCTCGACGTTAAAGCTGGGTATGAATGCGCAGCTGAGTGCAGTGCCCGTGTCCGCACTCGAAGCTGACGAGTGCCAAGTTGAGTCCTCGAGGTTGTACGCATACGGCGCATACACGTACAGGGTCCCGTAGCGATCCGAGAAAACTATTGTGCTCCCAACAAGCAGCGCCTGGATATCCGAGTTCCTTCTCGACGGCCTCGTGCCATACAGCTCCTTATACCGCCTGCTTGACAAAACCTTCCACTCTCCTGCCACAGTGTCCAGCTCCCAGAGCACCACGCAGCTAAACGAGTGCGTCACCATGAAATTCCTGCCTCTCCACCTCAAGACTCCAGATAAGGCGGTGCTGTCAAGGAGCTTGTACTCCTTGTAGACAGATTCATTGAGGGGAGTTGGATCGCGATCACCCGCAAAGTGCTTGTGACAAGACCAGGCCATGGAATCTGGATTGTAGGCCATGAGAAAGTATGGAGGGTAATGGAGCCCCGCGCTTCCCAGCACGGAGCCGTCGATCTTCGTATTTGCGCCGTCGTGCTCGCCAATAAAGGGCACTGCCGAGGTCCAAACCCGCGACTCTGAATCATACTGGCGCGCCTGGTAGATCACTTCGTAGTCACTGCCAACTTCACTGTAGGTGATCGCCAGCTTGTAGGAACCTTTGGACGGATCAGCCTGGAGATGGATCCTTTCCATGGTGGAGAGCGGACGAGAAGGGATATCGATTGGAGGCAGCCGCCTCCATTTGTTTGTCAATGGATTTCCTACCACAAACTTCCATGCTGTGTCAGGCGTGTTCCAGTAGCGCCCCTCTTCTGGTAGCAATCCGCAAACCAGGCCGTGTGAAGAAGAAACCCCAATGGAGAAACACCCACGAGGCCCCGGATTCAATCCGGTAGATCTTCTTGCGCCGCTGCCCGGGAACCACACTTCTCTGTGGATGCTGTCCTTGGTGCGCAAGACACAACAGACCTGGTCCCTGTTCTTCCATTGCTTGGCGAATCCCTGCGAAGCAATGGCGCTGTGCCAGGATCTACACACGCACCGCAGCCTCCCCAGATCGTCAAGCTCCAAGCCCGCAAAGATCTGGAGCAAGAGATCCTCCGTTAGGCGCTCCATTCTGCCCTGACCCGAAGGAAAACCCAATCTTTATGCAAGGGATGGTGCCCTAAAAGGGGTTAGCCTAAAGACCATTCTCCTTTTTCTTTCTTCACTCTCTCCAACGACTGACGGAAAGAGAGCAAGCAGTCCAGAAGCTGACCTGCAAGACATTGAAGAACCATGAGTACGCAATGTGCTCCTTTTGTGAAGTAAATCACTCCAGTCCAAGATCGTAGCTTGAAGATCTCATGTGTGGTGATCGAAAAGCAATTGACGTGAAAACTGAGACCTTCTCAGCAGGGACGAGATTGAACCAGACTGCTGCTAAGAGAGAAAGGGATTGTTCTGTCCGAGCTACCATAGTGTGTTTGCTCGGAACGACGCGGGCTTTTCTCCAGGGAAATGTGATATGCTTGTAGACGTCGCGGATTCTCTTCTAAAACCTTGCAAGCTGCTACGAGCACGAGGAGACTGGTTGGAAAAAAAGTGTTTTTTTTTTTTCCATTGAACATCCCACCTTTGAACAGTCATAAAACCAGGCTGGTTTTGCCTACAAATGTCCATGGAACCTCCGTAATCCGGCATGCTGATTGATTCCACCGTTATAAAACAACAATAGAATGCACCTCTGCATTAGCCTTCGCAACACCATCGTGAGAAATAAGTGAGGCACAATTCTTGACAGTGGAATGCTCAGATCCCGAAGAACCTACAAATCAAGTTAAGAAGTTGAAGAAAATCATCCTGTACGCTTTTACAGGTCGGTAACTCAGGTGCACTTGATATACAGCGTATACGCTCTCATGGACTGCTTTGTGGAGAAGCTTCGACACCTTTCGTGATTTTCGGCTGGGGAACAAGAGAGTTAAAACAAACAAATGTTTTATGTTCAGACATTACCGCCGCCATTCCTAAACTATCCTTTGCTCCTTCGTCTGACAAGCCTTTGGCCCAGATTCACGAGCCAGCTGAATTACGAAAACCAACATTCAAGTTCTGTTAGACTAAAGAAGGAAACAAAACAAAAGGCCAAATTGCACAGAATGAGAGAAGAGCAGAAAGCTAGACTGCGCAACATTAATTACCTGGTACCATAAGCCAACAAGGCATGCAAAATGGTGTGCACTGAAGCATTGAGCAGTATCAGCAATAAGAGATGCATCGGCAAGGCAAGTCGCTAGCTACCTGCATCATCTTCAGCTGATATGGAGATAAACATACCACTTCGTTCCTTCTGTCGCGTGCCTTCCTCGCTGGGCGGAACAGAACTTCGGAAGAAAAGCGTCCCAGTTTTGGAGACCTTGGATTGCTCTGCTGCTCCCAGACTTGCCCTGCGTAGCAAGACGAAAAAACGAGGAAAAAAACGAGGATCCATTACCTTTTAAAACCTTTGGGGAGACTGTGTCATCTTCGTCCAGGAAATATGCCAGCCACCGGTCATACCAGCGCCCACACTGAAACATTAGAGAACACGAAAGACGGAAGACGTATTTGCTTCAAGAGACAACAGCCTCCGTGCTGCTGTTTCGAACGGCAAATCGTTCACCAGCCTTTCCGCGTGCACAGAACTGGCTTCCAGTAGCTCCGTAGAGGCATGTATTATCGTGGCGTCCTCAGGCACGAAGCCGGTCATCTCGGGTGGAATAATAGCTAGCTCCCCGCCAGCCATTCCCTGCTACACAGCATTCTTTTTAATGATAGTTGCAAGCAGAAGAGGAAAGAAAGGTCATAGCCAGCAAATCACCTTGCCAACGTAGTCATTAGATTCTCCAATAAGCCTGATGTTCATCCCAGGAGTCAAGAGACACTCGAAGGATTGGCCTGAGCTGCCAATAAGAAAACTAAAGTGTGAGACATAGTTCGAAAGCACACTGACGTTATGTTCCAGAACCTGTGGCCGCCGTAAGCTTTGGCAATGGAGCCTGCAATACGTCCACAGACTCTTCCAATGACGTCGTTGAGCTTTTCAGAGCCAAGATGAGCGAGCAGGCCCCTCACCTATTTATAAGAAGTGATCAGAGGATGACCAGATACAACCAATTATCAAAGACAACTCAGCAACGTACTCCGGGAAATCGAGCACGCAACTCTTCCCCCTACGCATTGTACAGAAAAGCTTCATCAGAAGAAACAAAATATCACGTTCAGAAGACAATACCTGGCTAGCAACACCAACGGGGCAATAGTTAGTATGACAGATACGGGCCATGACGAATCCTATCATCGCTCATATTCATCAGCTCCCATCGCAGCAGCCCCTTCTTTAAATCCACCATCACTGCTTGCTATAACGAGAGTGCGACGTACCTTGGTAGCATCAAGTGCCATAGACGCAGGCTCGCGAGGAAATCCGAACATCAACAGATCCTTCGAAGTTTACGATTCCTGCGACGCTCTCGCCGGTTTAGCATCTGCAAGAGAAAAGCCACATAAGTTGGCCACAAGAAAAGAGCAAAGGAATGTGACCTGCACGAGAATCCAAAACAAAGCACTCCTCAGCTCCTCGCCTTTGGGAGAAATCTTCGACGTTTCGGAATCGGCGGGCCTGCAGAGCAAGGAGCGTTGGTGAGGAAGAAACGAGCATTGTTTTCTACCTTTTCAGTCTCGCTGGGCAGTAGATAGTCACAAATCAGTAGTTAAAACTCTCCTGGAAGAATACAAGCAAATTCCAATTTGTCTTGGCTGTTTGCAAAGCGAGATCACTCTAAAAACAAAGAAAGTGATCTTACCGACCCGCAATGTGATAGAGACGGAGGAGCTCCAGAAATTTCAGACGTGTGGCACGATTTCTTTAAGAAGATCAGGGCGTTCACTGCCTTTTATAAATACTCTCAAAATAAATCAAACCAAGGCTTGCATCCACAAAATTTATAAATCGATTTGATAAAAAATTTAGACTTACAGATCCTGGACAGCCTTTTTCAACTCCTTCTTTATCGCCTCTAACTTGTCAAGGAGAGGATTTACTCGCGCTGTCTTGAGCCTAATTGAAAACGAAAAAAAGAAAAACAAGACCAAATCAGATCATAAAATTCATTTAGAAGTTACTTACTTGATATATGAGTACATAGTGACTGCCATAAACGTAACGTATTCGGCAACTAGCTGTAAGTGTAACAGCCTCAGTCCAAGACGCTACAAAAAAGCAGTTAAGTTAACCATTTCTATATTTTAAGCATTGTTACTTACTGTGGCATCTTCTTCGAACAGTTCCTCGCAGGAAAAGTAGGCTTCTTCCTCTGCTTCGGTGACCTTGACTTTCTTCACCTTCTTCACCTTCCGGGGACGGCGACGGTGGGGTTGGACGAGGGCAGGGGCAACGCAGACTTCAGTTGGCTTCTTCACTTTGTTGATACTTATATGGAGGTCTGCTAACGCCTTGTGTTGTTCATTTGGAAGCATCGACAAGGCCTCGTCTGTAAACCTTGAATAGTGCTGAAACACACACACACACACACACACACAAAACAGTTAGAAACCAAACCACAAACAGTAAAGCCTCACCAGTAAAGCCTCCTCTTCGTTGAGATGGCATTCACTTTGCTCGGAAGCTGAGCATGGTTTGATTGGGATATTGTCGATCATAGAATATAGCCAGCTTTTGGAGGCAAGACTTATATCGCTGCAGCGCTTAATGTGCTCCACCAGCAGAGCGAGGGAACAAGAGGGAACTGAAACGCCCCTGTGCGTCTTCCTCTCCAACCTAGAAAAGCGAGGACTTAACTGTGAGAAAAGAAAGAAAAGACAGACTTAACTAGAAAGGAAAAAAGGATCGAAACTTACAGAGTGGTGTATCGCAAAATGTCCTCTCTAAATTTTTTCTCAGTCTCCTCAGCCTGAGCAGGCGACGCTGATTCCGTCTCTCCCTCTGTAAAGACAGGCATCCATCCACGAACTATCACAAGACCACTCACGGATCACAAGAAAACACCTCGATCTACATATATCACACAAGACAATAGACAGGAATCAGCGAGAGCAAATACCTTGCAAAACGCCTTTATCTCCATTTCCCTGCTGCTCCGAGCTGGAGCTGGATGGCATAGCACGGACCCGTGGCGCAGTTGACAATGGCCCCTCGGTGTTCGCGATAGTCTCCTGTAAGATTTTTTTTTTTTTCAGGCCTGGGGAGCTAGATCTCAAAAAAGAGCTCACCAGAATCCGAAGACCCGAGGTCGCAGTGCGCGTCAGCATTGTCTGCGATGTGTGCACCTGAAAGGTTTCATGCCTGAGAGAGAGAGGACATAGCAAAGAACTCACATTGTGATTGGATTGGAGAGGGGAAGAGACTGGATCTGCGACTTGCTGGTGTAGAAATTTGCAGTGCAAACCGAAGCGGCAACTGGAAAGACAAGAAATCAAGCCGAATCAATCAGGATGGAGCTTTGTACTTACTTCCCACGCTGAAAATGCCGACAGACAACAGGATCGGGGGTCGCAGTGTGCGTCGACATAGTCGCCAGCCGCCTAGCGCTCTCTCTACGAAACCTAGCGCTCTCCCTACGAAACCCTAGCGCTCTCACTACCGCGCTCTTGTTCTTCACACTAAATGCCCTATCTGGGTATTGGCGGGATATTCCACGCAACGGGTCGAATGTCCGATGCTCTGATTCGCTGCAGCCAAGAGGTGATTTGCTGCTTGTTGCACAAAAGTCTACGGTGCAAGGTCTTGTGTCGTGTCATTTTGATCTTAAGCAGCACTACTGCAGCCGGAGTGGATCCCTACTCTTGGAGATGATACAAATTTTTTGGAAGGACTCTTGTGCTTTGGGCTTCGCAAAGGCAATGCGACGGAAAACCTTGCAAGTTTTGATACAACCCTGGGGGTAGGAGTAAGCTGAGCTCGATCCAGCTCGCGTAGTATCGCAGGAACTCTGGCATTGCTCTTATCCATATTCGTGAAAAAAAGAAATGGATCGAACTAGAACTTACTCACCTGCTGCAGGAGCCGAGCGAGTCTTCACTCACAGTGGATGCAAACGCCACGGCCTCGTGACACTGCGAGCGGATGCGCAAGAAAACGTATTTCTAGAGGCATTGATAGAGTTAACACTGAGGAAGCCAGCCTTAAGTTTGCCGCCGGTCAGATATAGCTCCAAGTCGAGCACAACACTCCATATACTCCGCTGTTCCAACTTGCCTTGGTAAATTAAACATTCCAGCCTTTGTACTCCTTGGATCCATCCACGGCGTTCTAAACCATGCAAAAGCACTGTGATTCAATCCTTGTCAATGGTTTTCTTACCTGCATTTCCGTGGAAAGCCTTACTTGTGGGAATGTCTTCCGGAGGACTTCATGTGTAAACATCATCTCGCTGGCTTGTCACTCTGTCTCACATGAATAGGCCGCGGCATCCAAGGTCCATAGCCTGGACGATTACGATTACTCTTCGTGAGGCCATTCAATGGTAACCCCCAGTCCATGCGTTCTTGGTTTAAACGATTGCACAGATACTAGCGAAGTGCCTGTATAAACTCTAGATAAGTTTGACGAGCTTATTGCTAGGATTATCAAAAACTTGCCTGCAACCTTCGATGATTTGCATGATAATGTGTCATGAGCTTGTCCTTTACCCAGTTTGTCTGAGCTTCTTCACGTGGAAGATGCAGGTACTCCTACACAGTAGGCCGCATTGCTTTCCAAGGCTCCCCCTAAAAAGTAAAAGCCAAATAGTTGCTGTAAACCTTGGAAAATCTCACCATCTCATTGATGGCCACTAAACTCCTTGATAATTCCCTCCTCCCGCTGGCTGGTCGTTCCCGAGGCTTTGGAGCAGTGCATGGAAGGACATCCCTTGCAAGGACAGCAACAAGTATATGTTCTGGGATCTGGTTCATCCGACCGAGGCATTCAGCACCATGCTGGTGCAAAGGTGGTACAACGGCACCACCGAGTACGTATCGCCCATGAACATTGCGGCACTTGCGGCGGCTTAGTTTGTGTGGCTTATACGTTACAAGTTGTAAGAAAGGGAGGAAGAAAAAAGGCTTCGACTTCTTTATGTAAAAGAATCACTCGACGTACCTTTATTATAATAATAATCATAACCTCTCTAGAGGTGTAAGGCCCAGTAACTCAAGGCCTTGTTTCGTGATCAGGCGGGTTGCCTCACAGAGCAATAACCGGCTTGCCTCTTGCAAGCTTCTAGTCACCTGCAACAAAAGCTCGAGATAAAAACAAAAGGATTTGAGAAAGAGAGAACCTTGCAGCTGGTGTAGAACTGCGTGAAGAGCTCCGAGAGAGTGTACAGATAATCGCAGAGAGTACTCGGCAAGAGGCGGCTGATGGAGTCCTCTACGGTCTAAGCTCACGGATTAAGTCGTGCGTAAAAGCACCAGTGTTTACCTCTGTGAACTGAATGAGATGTAACCTAAGAGATCTTTCGTGTGGGTGCTCCACAACCAGCTCGCAAGTCTGAAAAATTATTTGAGAAACAAGACAGCCGAGTATGGTCTCCTGCTTGTTTTAGTACCTGTTTGATTTCGTCAATGCTTCTTCCAGATTTTCTGATGATAGAACAAACCCGTGCATACGCATAGAAAAGATAAACAGCAGTGTTTCCCTGCCAGCAAATGCTCAAAAATAAGGAACTGAGAAAACGATGGACGTTACAAAACCTTGATGTTCAGCATCTGCTCAAAGTCGAATCTATAGTTTGTTTTGCGGTTGTTTTTCAGGTCTCGTACCTACAAAAACACAAGAAAGTTCATATCTGTGGAAGAACTTGACAACTTACTTGACGGCTCCATAGCCAAGTGCTTCAGCTGCTGCCTCTAAATCTTCACCACTCCACTCTCCTTTTCGGCCTAGGATGTGATCGTGAGAATTTTTACGAGCTCCGACGGGTCAGTTACCTCGCTCTACCAGTTCCTTGTGGCTGCGGCTCTTGGCATCGTCCAGCATGTTTGCAGGCAAAACCCCTCCTTTTCTACCTCGGATGCGCTTCCCATCTTCGCCAAGCACCATTCCAAATCCAATATGTTGGGCTTTGGGAAATCCATGCTCCGGCAACCACCCAGCGAGTTTTGTAGCCTATACATAGATATCGTCATGTCTACAAAAGAGAAACCAAAAAAAAAACCTGTCACCTGGAAGAACATATCAAAGTGCTGCTTCTGTCCAATCAGCGGTATGTCATAGCCTTCGAGAAATATCACCCTTGCACCATCGCTCTCTTGCAAAAGTCCCTTCTTCTTCGAGAGACTTGATAGCATAGAGAACGTATGGATGATAAAAGCTCTCGCCATGCAAGACAAGAGAAAAGACTTTTCATCAATCTGAACAAAGCCGCATGAATCAGCTCACTTGCTCCTCGAGAGAAACGTTCAGACGGCCATAAGTTCGTTCGTAAGCTCTTCGACTCACGTCGCAAAGGGACTTCCACTTAGCGTGATATTCCGCCTCGCTTCTCTAAATCCAAGCAAAGAAACGTACTGAGAAAACATATTTGTTCCATCACCAGTACCTGTAATTTGATGAATTGCTCATCGCTTTTAAATCTCTCCGATGCTTCAATGTACATTTTCTGCGCACAAGGTGATTTCTCGATGTCAGTACTCAGGATTTCTGAAAGCAAACCATACGTTATCTAACGTATGGTTGTCGCCGATAGCCTCTACCTCGGCATCCGTCTCAAATATGTGTTCAAGTAGCATTCCAAACTGCAAAAGATCTGCCAAGGTCTTGCTGAAAGGAACAAAGAAAGGAGGACTTTGGCTTCATTACCTGCGTTCCCCAGTCGCCGACATGGTTTCTCCGCATGACACTTAACGTTACAAAACTCAAGCATTCTCGCCACACTATCCCCGATAACTGTAGAGCGCAAGTGTCCGACATGGAGCTCCTTGGCAATGTTTGGCGAAGAGAAATCCACGAGTGCGTGCTTAACGGGCAGCTCGGGCGCAACTGTGTCAACTCCTTGATGCAAAACAGATCTGTTTTGATTTTGAAACATAGGATAAGAAGAAGAAAACGATCGAGCTTAAGATCTATACCTCTGCAATGAAGCGTGCCGAGAGCGTAGCCTGCTCCAGCAACGCTGCTCTTCTCAAACATGCTCGTCCTGGGAATGTTCCGCAAAACATCCTGAGAAGAAAAGTGTAAAAACACGAGCAAGTTCTCGGTAGACTTTTCTACCTGCGCAAGGGAGACTGGATTCCCGTATGTGGATTGCATGCCTTTGATTCTAGACCAGATTCCCATCGCATTGTTGCTGTAAGAGAGTTTAAAGGTTACTCCATGACATTTGATAGTCTCCAAACTTGGGATTGTTGCAAGAGGTGACGATGGGCTCCACAGATACCCACTCTTCGACCGCGCTGCGAAATGCCGCTTGAAAATCCTGGGAGATCTCGCTCCTCACAGAGCCATCAAACAAACCTTTCTATTGTGTATAAACCCTACGCAGAAAAAGAGTCACTTCACAGCTTTAGTGAATAGTCGCCTACTGTAGCGAGAAGAAAACGGTTTATTACAACTCGTTAAAAACGAACTATGCTCACCATTCAGTGATCTTCTGCGGTAGACGCTGCCCTTCCCTGTAAAAGCTCCATTTGACTTAGATGTTCACATTCATCACGATTTGCCTGGCAACAAGCAAATGCTTCTGTTTTGCACGATAACTGCAGGAAGAAATCCTCTGGTAAAGGGATTTACTGCTCACATTCTCTGGCCTCGTCCTTTCGTTGCTAATGAGATCCCTGTGAAAACTTGACGATCAGTTTTACAGGTACCTTGGTAAGAATAGCCGCACTTGTTTATAATTGTTGTTCATGGTCCATGCCTGAACGAGACCAGCATTGATCTGTCTCATGCACTCTGTGGTCCAAAACCGTGACTGAGCTTGAGGAGCTTGAAGACGTTATAAGAAATATAGTCTTCCTTGCGTACTCACGAGTAATGCTTGCAAACGATAATATTCTTTGAAAGCTCGGCCATAGGCTGCTGCTGCGTCTTGCTCCTGTACAGCTTACAAAGTCAGTAATTTCGACATAAAGTTTCCAAAGAGCTCTATTACCTTCTTCACCCTGTAGACGTTATAGATCAAGCTTGAATAGAGAAATTCAGAGAGGGCACTGACGTCCATCTTGTTTATGGCTCGCTTCAGGCAGTAGAAAAAGTGACGTCGCATTTTCTTCCGTGTAGCACTCCCGTCCCAGAGCGGCAAAACCAAAGGAACCACTCGAAACATCTTCATGAGGACTGGAAGCAACATGGTCCAGTGAGCTTGCTTCATCGTTTCCACCGTAACCCTTCCCGTCGTCGAGAGATAGAGCAAGCTCTTGAGGAGCTGTGCCTCCATAGCTTTGTGTGAATCATCTCCTTCAATCGGGCATTCAGTCGCCTGGGGAACTAGGCGACTCTCATAGATATCGTCATACAACTCGATGAGGCTCTTGACTGCGATTCGGACGGATTCCTCCGGTTCCACGACGTAAGGCCATGGAAGCTTATGGTTGCTCGCCATATTTGTGATCAAACGAACGAAATTTTGTCAGGAAGAAATCCGTGAAGAAGGAATTGCAAAGCACTTACTTTCTTGGTCGCTGTAGATAGCAAATGCCGGAAAGCAAAGAACCTAATCGTTGAAATCGATTGCCCCGTGTCGCGAGACTGGATCCAACGCAAATGCTCGTTACATCCATTTACAGTTCTTGTGGCGCCGTGCATATGCAATGCTTCCCTGTGTCGAAGGCGATATTTCAGCGACGATCGATCAAGATCCACAGCCCCGGAAGCTAGCGATCGCCATCCCTGTCATGTATGAATCGGATTTGCAGAAGAATTGAAGCCATCGCTCACGCTTGCTTTCCCCGCCCTTTTGCCGCCGGCTTCGTGCAAGCTAGGGTGTATGCAACTCACCTTGTCCTTGAGTGGGTATAGATTTCCTTCCT